CTCCTTTCTAGACGAATCATCAAAAAAACAGGTATCACTATAATAAAGAACTTGGAATTTGAAGAGAGGAAAGGAGTCAGCACTTCTTAATTTCTTAACTGCTGCTTTTTATTAGCATCCCACTTGGGTTAACTTCAGTTACATAGCTTTCAGGATGCTTTAATTTTAATCCGTCTCCAATGCTCTTCCAAAATTTTATTCCTAATACAGGCTTTGGTTCCTGTGCAGGCCTATTTAAAACTGATTGAGCAGTATTATTCCACCTAATAGTTCCAAAAATAATTACAAAGAAAAGCCAGCGGTTTCAAACATTCAAATAACTCTTAAAAAGATTAAGCAAGTCCTTAATGACATAAAAGCATTCCAGAATGTATTCCGTATCTTTTTATTGTTAAAATCAACAGTAACTTTGATACCCACTTCCACGGGGACAAAACAGAAACCAACAGAGGATCCTTAAAAAAACCCAACCAAACAAAACCAAGCACCCAAACAACTGAACAAGCCCAAAACAAGAAACCAAACTCCCCACTTTTCAAAAGTTTAAACAGTGTTTTTGACAAGGAAGCTCAGTCACTTTCAAAATTTGTGTCCTGAGCCATTAATAGATGAGATTCTTCTCTTGCAAGCTGCTTTGCGCATGTGGTCTCTTAAGCCCACAGAAAGACACACTGACATTAGTGGGGCTCCAGATGGGCACGAGGGGCCACCCACCTGGTCCACTGCGTCCCAGAAGGAACGTCCACGATAAGCACTCGCTGCTGATTCAGACACTAATTTTGTAGTTATGGACTGCATTCAAGTTACTGATCTTCCACATACAAGGAATCGCCATGAATAACAGTAGAGGGGGGGAGGGGAAATCTACTGACAACACCGAATTAAATAACCCAGCTGAAAACCAAGGCAGTCCATTTTTGAGTGGACTGCTACTTATGCCAAGATCTTCAGTGCTTTTTAACAAGGAGAAAGACTGATCCCTCCACAGCCAAAGAAGAACGAAAGGACTGCAAGCAAAGAAAAGTTAAATTATTGCAAGTATTGCATCATAAAGATTCTCTTCAAACATCTGCTTACCTAGTCCAAATAGAAACTAACACATTCATCTACAAAGAAAAGTAAGACAACAAACTCCAAGGAAAGACTGTTAAAGACAAATACAAGTCTGGCCTGAACAGCATCTTTATGTCTAGCACAGCCTACATTTTGCCATGGTAGGTTCCTTGCTAATTCAAAACAATCTCTCTGACCTAGAGTCTGAGAAGCCACTAACCTGGAATACAGGAAAAGAATTATTAATTTTGGCTCAAAAGATAAATAATTGAAAAATACGCACAAAGTTTTCCTAAAAGCAATTAGCAGCTGTAAATACCTATTCACAATAGCAGCAAAAAGAGCTTAAAAAACCCAAACAAAACAAAACTGTATTGCCCTTTAGTTAGAGCTGTTGATAACGCACAGTCTTCCTTAACACAGGTTGAGGGATTCAGTTCTTTCGGTTCATAGAAGGCTGTTGTGACAGCAGCCAGAAGCCCCAAATTAGCCTTAGACCCCTTAGTGCTAGGCGCTGCAGAAATGCAGGGATCACCTCCGACAGAACTTGGAATCTCATCCCCACCAGTGGTTCCTTAGGATGGACCTTTCCTACCCAATTCCCCCAAATCAGCCTATGGAAATGAAGGGTTTATTAGTAATTTTATCTCTAGGATTTAAAGTAAGAGAAGCCCCTGAATTATTCTGCCCAGCTTTAGAATTCTGTTAGGGTATTTTACTGAGCAATCGTATTAAACCAAATCATACCTCTTTTTAACACTAAAAGACAAAGAAATTAAAGTGTTAAATCCCCATAATAAATAACACATCTCAACAGCTGTAGGCCATGAAAGTTGCAGGCAGATCTGCAGCTCTACATACATTGGGAGTGTAATCCTGAAGCTGCTACAGGTTCCCATGTACAGATGAAAGTAGAACAATGGTATCTCAGGTTGAGAAAGGAAGCATTGTCATGAAAAAAAAAAAAAAACAAACCCAGCGTCCTTTATTCCTGGTCAGTCTTTTGCTGTCCAACTCTTGCCTGTAGTAAACTAACTACAAGGAGAGTCACATGTTTAAAGAACGGGTTTTTATACAGGTATCTGCCGATTTTGACAATGATTATCGCGTGTTTTTCACATGTTTAAAACCAAAGTAATCTTGTTTTCGCAAGTGAACAGAAAACTAATGGCAAACTATTAGAAAGAACTACAGTTATGGCTGCTACCTTCAATTCTTCTTCATAATGCTTTTAAGTATCAGTCCAACTATATTTTTCTCTCATACTTTCCACCCCATCAAATTACGGCTTTCTCAAACTCCAGTTTGATCACAAAATTGCTGCTTCACACAAGACATGTATGTACAAATTAGAAATGGGAGATACCAAAGCATTTCAGGAGGGCTCTTTCTTGTGGGTATCCTTCCAGCGTGAGGCAGAGATGACACACGCTCTCCGCTGACCACCATTTAACCGTGATGCCCCACTGAAATACATACTCATGGCCTACTTCATGGTTCAGCATGCTCCACAGTACTTAATAAACTGAGCACTCAAACCGTCTTTTTAAAATTACGGAGGACATAATTAAGCTCCAGAAATAAGCAGACAACAGCATTTTTGATATAAACATCCTACTTATGTAGAGGACTCTTATTTCAACTCGGCATTAACGCCCAAACTCTTACTTCTGAATTCTTGCAAATCTCTAGAAGGCTTCTTCCAGTATTTCCTTGAGTTAGGCGTTTAGTTTTCCCACTTACATTTGAATCTATTTCAGACATTTTGACGCTTAACTTTCCTTTTAATCAGTAGAAAAAATGGTCAGATCAGCCTACCTACCGGTGGTACCTGACCTAACAAACCAGCGACATCGTAAGCGTGGATGGAGACATTTGGCCTTCCCAGCAGAAGGCCACGGAAACACAGATCACGACATATATATATATATATTTCGGCAAACCACTGACCAAATATAGCCAGCCACCAAGGATAGCCACGTACTGCTATCAAACGCGCAACACCGATCCCGGTCCGGCAAACATTGACGTTCGCTGGGAGTCCAGTTCTTGGACTATCCAACCACTGACCAAATATAGCCAGCCACCAAGGATAGCCACGTACTGCTATCAAACGCGCAACACCGATCCCGGTCCGGCAAACATTGACGTTCGCTGGGAGTCCAGTTCTTGGACTATCCCTGGAAGTTAAGCTCGCCAGCGGGTCTTTGTACGGCCGGGGCCTTAACGGCCTGAAACCGCCGCAGAGAGCCCAACAGGGGGAGCAG